ATAGGACACTGATTAAATTATGTAATATCAATTTTTCGGAAGTCCGGTACAGTGAAAATTGAAGTTTGGATTTATAGGTTTTCCTTTGATATCACCCCAAATAATACAATCTTACCGGTAAATTATCCAGATATCCGCCATCCACTAATAAATTCCCATTATCACAAAGGGGGGGGTAAGAATGATGACAATGACATTGATGCTCTAATATATCGCCATGCATAACCACTTTTATGAACCTCCATCCGTGACCACGTGATGTTTGTGGTAACGCAAAAGTATGATAACCAAAAATCTTCGATAAGTGTATCTGAAAAACTTTTCCAGATACCTCGATTAAATTGATGACCTAAATAGGGTAAATTAATGTTTATTATCCTTATGTATATTAAATAAAAAAAGCATATAATTAAAATATTTGCCTGTAAACCATGCAGTTAACGGATATGTCAAATCAAAAACTTGTCTCCATTTACTACACATTCGTGATGAGAATGCTTTAGCTCGTCCAAGGATCGCCACATTGTCTGATTCACGTGCATAAAGTCCACCAATAAAGGAACCGATGCTAGTACCTCCAACCATATCAATCGGAACGCCAGCTTCTTCCAGAGCTTTAATAACACCTACATGTGCTATGCCTCTAGCCCCTCCCCCTCCTAAAACCAGACCAACTGATTTTCCACAAAGACGTCGTGCAAGCCTAATAATTGAACTCATTACTATTATTATTAAACTAAACGCGGATCAAGAAATTAACTTACCTTGAAAAATCACTGCGACTTCCATTTTGTGTCGTGGGTGACCTTTCCATTATTGTAGAATAATACTTTTGTAATTGAGCTTGAATATTCATTAATGTATTCTTTCCACGCTTTCGTGATCGCCCCGTCCACACACGTTGCATGCTATTCGTGACACTGAACTTGCTCGAATGCCTAGGACTTTATTCAACGCGCTTGCTATTCGTCATCCTGAAATTACTTTACAGATTTCTCGTATTATTGCGTCAAGAACACGGTTGCAACAAGATCGGGATTACAATCATAAAAACACTGGTGCAGAACTTGGTAAAAACAATACTAATCTTAAAACTGTCTGTATATTGCCTGTGAATGAAAACGTTCCCGTAACCGAGTTTGCAGAGAAATTGAAATACGCTTTAGAAAGATCTGGTGAAACAGCTACTCTATTAAATCAGACTTCTGTAGTACCAGTAATGGGCAAGCATGTATTTACACAAATGGGAAGGTTGAAGCTTATTAGTTGGCTTGCTGAACAAGAAGAAAAATCGCGAATTGTGTTATATTTGGCCGATGGAGGGCTTAATTCTTCGTGGACTCAAACTTGTATTCGTCAGGTATTTTGTTTTGTACCATACCTTTAATTTAGATAAATATATATATTCGGATAAGTTTATTATAGCTGACACCTTTCATTTGGCACTGGGTGAGTAGATTGTCTAGTTTTTTTACTTTTATTAATTAATTCATTATCACTCATGTCCATATCTTTGTATTTTTTACCACTGCCAACATATTTCAAACGAAGTCGTTCCATACTTCCTGGTCTAAAAAAATCGCTAGGAAGGCCATAAGTAGTGATGTCATTCATTAATTTTTCAGTTCTCAAAATATCTTTTGTTAAGCCCAAATATTTATATCCAGTCCAAAAAGTAACACGTTGAAAGCGCGTTAGGATTACTTGAACGATATGAGCAACAGAATTTGGAAATTTTTCCGTTAATCTATGAAACGCTTCCGCTGGAATAACAGCCAAGGTAGTATCAACAGTTGCCCTGGCTATGATATTCGGGTGAACAGAAGTAGTAGTTGGACCATCTTTTGAAAGGCGTCTTAAAATTTGTGGCTTTGTAGATTTATTTGAACGTGAGAAAGTATTATCAGGATGCATTGATGTTCCGGGAAGAGCTTGTTCTTCAGAATTAACATTATTTGATACATCTGAATGAGAAATCCCATGAGACTGCTTATCTTGAACAGACTCATTTTCCTGTTTTCCTGCATGAACTCCATCAATTGAATGATCTACCACTGTATCATTGTAACGAAGTTCAATGTCATCAGTAAATAAAGAAAGAATAGTAAACAAACTTGACAATGTTCCACCGTTCGTAACTTCATTTAAAAGCTGACAACCACGATTATAATCATCATCCTCAAAAGGATCTAACACAATGTCTTCTTCATTTGCAGTTTTGACAAAAACCTGAACATGACCATCTATTACAATGTAGAACGACCTTTCTTTCTCTAGCATCAAAGTATCGCCACTTAATAACTTCTTTGTTTGCAAATGTCTTGAAAGTTCATGAAATACAGGTTTTTCCAAGTAACCAAAAACTTTTATGCCCTCTAAAAAAGCGCTTAAAAATTCGTCTGGGTAAAGAAAGTGTGATTTTTCATTGTTATCGAAGATATCGGGTCGAAGGTGGTGAAAAGCACCTTGAGTCTGGGGAGTTTCTGCGGGAAG